GTAATTTTACATCATCTTCATCACACATTGCCAGAGTGCGTCCCGCAATTGACACTCAAGTATATGTGATGCATGGACTTTCATAATAGAGTGTGACTTTCTTCAACACACCACACACAACCCCCCAAATTACAGGGACAGACACACTCTCTCTTGCCTCTCATATCAAAAAGCCAACCCTGAAATTATCTCTGATTGCGCGCAATGAGTGACTTTTTTCACGACATTCCATACATTATTTCAAGTCTTCAATTTGTTGTGCATTTTCATCCCATTCCGAAATCTCATTTCTCCTCTTCTTCTTCTCCTCATACACTCTACAATAGCACACCAAATTGGCTTTATTATAGTGATACTCATACTTCTTCTCTCTCTCTCTACATTCTCCCAAATCCACATCTTTCACTTTTTCTCCCCATGCAACTTTTTACCCAATCAACCCCCCACCCCTCATGAACCCGAAATAAAAAAGCAACAAAGAGGATGGAATTTACCATAGTTCACCTCCCACTGAAAACTCTCTCCCAGCTCAACATCAGCCCTCCAATAAAGCACCAATGAATATATTAATACGGGGGGAGGAAAAAAAAACTTTATTCGCGTTTTAATATTTCCCTTCTACATTCATACCATATTATATTCCCACCCACTGACAATCCTCCCGTCACACAACAATTGAAGGACTACATTGGAATATGATATGGTGTGCAAAGATGAAGTGCATGAAGAGCACAAAAATCAATTGTTCACAGATTGGAAAGTATATATATATATAGAGAGAGAGATTGTTGGCAACAAAACAAACTTATTGGGATTCTTCTGTACATTTTTCCACTATGGTTTTTTCAACCATCAAAATTCCTTCATGCACCAGAATTTCACAGAAACTATTTAACAAAAAACGAAAAAACATCATACAAAAATCAACTTTAATTTAATTTGTCAGAAAAATCTTTTGTGTCATCAATTGAAGATTCTATCAAAATTAAATCATGCATCAAAATATGATATTCTGCACACTTAATTCAATTAATTCCGCCATTAATCATGTACTGTGTCACTGCTCATAATTCAATTGTCCAATCAAATTAGTGGCGGTGAAATGTTACAATATTCCATTGACAAAATCAATGTTACACAATATTTTGGAGTGAAAAATCCAATTGATGCCAGTTTTGTCGCTCATAAATTAACCCAATGACACATCCGTCCGCCCTTCATCACCTTCCGCCCAACCATCGCTGTCTTTAGTCCATTCAAGAAGAGAAAAATGAATCTTATGATCTCATTTCCACTGATTGTGTTGTGGGAGACAAAAAGCACTCGACGAGAGGACAGAGAGAGATAGAAAAATGTCTTGAGGATCCATTTGGCTGTCCTCCAACCCCGCCTCGCATCGCCTCGCCTCGCCAACTTCTCATGGCTCAAAAGGATGGCAGAATCTCGCGTGTCACACCATCTCCACTCCCACGAGGCACCATCTCCTTGTCTCATATCGCCATTTCCAAAGATATAACACCATGAGATTGTATTAAGTGACAAAATAAATAAGGCTTGGGATACTATTATGGGGTTGGCGAACACACACACAAGGAGAGTGTGAGAGAGGGCAAAGAAGTAACATAATATTTGTCTCTAGCGAAGCTTCGTCATTAACGTGGCTCTGTCATATTTTCCTTCTTCATTTTCCCAACCGTTGAGCTGCCACTTAGTTAGTCAATTCACTCACATTCACTCATTTTCACCCATATATGTCACGACCTTTTCGCGCGAACATGCCCTTCTCCCCAACCCCCCAACGCCGACTACGACGACGCTTTCCACCTCAATGGAGAAAGAACGATACCCACCCACAATTCCAAGACATCCCCAACTCCGCACTGTCGCTTTGAGGTATCCACACAACTCTTGGTGTCACGGCGAGAGCGACGAATTGACAATGCACCCACTCACCCCGGCAAGAGTCTCACCCTCTCGTGTCACCAAGAATCCTGCAACACTTCAGCCACTCTTGCGAGAGTTGAAACTTAGAACAAAATATGAATCATTTAGTTTTGTCTCTGGCACTTCAATTATTCACCAGCAAAGATACGCTTTTATCAAGTCAATTGTTGAAAGAAAGACTCCTCAAGCAAATGCAATTCACACACACACCAAAGAAACAATGTGAAAAACGGTGTGAATTCACAAAACTATGACACACACTCTATGATAAAAGACTGCAGAAGGAAGAGAACAAGAACAGAAAAAAAACCAGTAACTTCTAATACACCAAGTGAAAGAGAGTCAATAATATGCTAATTTCCATTGTGCCACTCAAGTTTATCTGTTATCGCACTTCATCATCGAATTTGTGAGTCACACTGAAGAATCTCTCTCTCTCTCTTTAGCACACTTTATCATGCAAATTGCTCGTGTGACTCTTCTCTTCAGTTCTTTTGCACTCACGAAGAACACCCATCAAATCACATCCAATCAATAGCAATAATAGTCAAGTTTAACTTTCCAATCATTGAGAAATATCAACTGAAGCCAATTGGTGGAATATATATTGCCATCCTCCCACCGAAAAAGAAGAAAAAAATGGAACATAGATAGCAATGAAAGGCAAATCAAGATATTTCTCCATCTCTCCAACCCCAAAAACTTCGTATCACTGTCTCTCTTTCAGTTAAAGATTACCGGAAGACACTCACAAACTCGATTAGAAACTTCTGCAAAATTCCTCACAACTTTTCTCACCATATTTTCCACCCCCGCGCGCGCACGCCGTGCGACACAGAAGGAAATGGGAAAATACTTCATCACATATTTTTCCTTGTATTTTTGCGGTTTATTCCACCTCCAGACGCACGCAAAAAAATATTATGCAGACAAGAAGATGGATTGGGGAAGAAAAAAACTAAGAATATATTTTTTGATGTGCCTGAAAACTTTCTCTCTTTCTCTTTGCCATTCACATTCCATTTTCTTCACCTACATATATACTGACTCTTTATATATGATGACATACACATTGCTCTTGATGGAAGATCAAAAATTATATCAAGAAATGGAATGATAAGAAAATAATTCTGTGACTTTCGACGGCGACAGAGATGAAAAGGAACTTTTTTTTTCTTCACCGCGCACCCCAGAGATAATTTTAATCTTATTTTCATATCAATTTCACTTCGATGACAATTCCAATGCCTTTTTTTTCTTCTGCTTCCTTCCATCTTCCGCCTTTTCGCGTCATTTTTCTCCCCCCCACTCACCCAATGCCGCCGCCGCCCAAATGCCTTTTTGGCCGGATAATGACTCCGTGCGTCGCGCGGAGAAAGTGTCCTGAAATGTCACCAAATCCAGTCGCGGAGAATAAGTGCACCTTTGCCCACAAGCGGAGTCGGAGGCAGACAAGGGATGTAATAAAAAATAGTGCACGTAAAATTTAACCCTCCCAGTGTCATTCAGTTATGCGCCCATCAACCCTCCAGAATTTCGCCTCCTCCCCAACGAATTCACTACATATTGGAATCCATCCGAGTTTTCACCGTTCATAAAGCCGAGAGTTGATAACAATTGTGTGTAGATGAAAGACATGACATTATCGCTGACACAAATCGACGGGTGAATCGAAAACTATGAAAAGTCGATTTCTATCTTATTAGACAACAGTAAAAAAAATCTTATTTATCTAAAAAGCACAAATGGCAAAAATTGTCATGTATTGCGATTGAAAAGTGAAATATTTATTAACACTGAACAATTTTCCAAGAAAAATGTCTCAAAAATTGCAGTCAAACGCAAAAAACATCTTTTCAGAAAGTAATTTTAGATTTTCAGAATTATCCGAAAATGTTTTTTCCACTTTGAATGAATATTTCTCATATCTTTTAATTTTTTTCACTTAAAAACTTTAAAAGTAGATTATTTAGAACTTGATTGGGTAAAATCAACTCGAAAAATAATAAAAATCAACTTTGAAAAGTAATATTTTCAGATTTTCTATTAATTTTGCCATATTTTAGTCAAAAATTTCAATAAATATCTATAAAATCAACAAAAATATTTACAAAATAATAAATACAGAGCAATATTTGCACTTTAACGGACGATTTGAAAGTGTTTTGAGGGTTTTAAAGTAAATTTGACAATTTTCGCAGCTGTATTAAAGCTACATTTTGAACTCGCTCCACTGAAAAATTGAGATTTTGGCTTTCCATAGTTTTCTTTTTTATTTCTGGATATTTTCAGTTATTCTACCATTGAAAACAAGTAAAATATATAATCTTTCACTCTACAAAACATCTCGATCAACTCTGTGGCAAATATTATTCACCATGTTGATGAAAATCCACGTTGAACACACAAAGGTGAGTTTTTCAGTAACAAATACACACAGCATACATGTATGTACACACTTTGTTATATTGAGGGGGCGATTTTTATATTTTTGTGAACTCCCCGAACCTTTTCGCGCCACTCAATATATATTTGGTGGAAAGTTTAAGTGAGAATGTGTACAGAAAAAAAGGTGGGAAGTTTAGAGTGTGGGAGAGAAAGCAGCAATGCAGAAACCTGTCAAAAATACATATTTTCCAATAAAAATGCTCAAATATCAAATTGCAAATATTTTACAAAAGGAAGAAGTACATTGGACGCGCTTTTTCAACGATGCCCATCTCCCAATCTATTGTATGATATCGTTGGAAATATGAAAAATATCAAGGCAAAATACTTTTCAATATTATATATATGAAATTGCTTGAGAGAAGACGATTGTGTGTGAGAGAGAGAGAAAGCTTGTAGTCTGAAATAATGTTTGAATGTCATCTGTGAGAGGACATAAAAAAAAGGCTCTTGTTGACAGTGAAAAATCGCACGTTTCGCGACAGATATTCAGAAACGCGCAGTGGAGGAAAACTTCAGCAAGTGAGTGTCGAATGTCACGGCAAAGGGGCCTCATTTGCCTCTGGCAGAGGTAACGAGATGAGGGCAAAATATTCAGAAACACTCACCAACTAGTGCCAGGATCACCGTGAGCAGCGGCGCAGCCGGGAATCGCACGGAAACATTAAACTCCAGCATCTGCAGCAGATCCACTGATGATGAAAGCAGAGAATTCGTTATAAATTAATAATTTTCACACTTGCAAGCGCGCCTGTCTATCAATATGCTTTTCTCTCCATCTTTTTCTTCCTCACTGTCTCTCGCCAATTGACTTTTTTTTTGCCATTATGCGCCTCATCGTCTCTATGGGTAATTTTACGCAATTTTTTTCCTTCTATCACGCCTCGCTCTTCTCCATTCTGTGCTTCTGGATGGGAAAGACAGACAGAGAGAGAGAGAGAGAAGAAAAATTGCCCTCATCCCATCATTATTATCGATGTGACAGTGTCAAGTCTTTCATTATTTCTATCTATTCAACCCTTAAATTTAATAAGCAAATAATTAGGACATTTTTTCCCGAGCGTTCGCTATCAAACACCCCTTCATCTCTAGGGTATTTAATTAAATCCACCCCCACGCGCGCGTCATCGAGATTCACACGAGGGTGTGGTGAAAAAATCCACAATAAAATTCATCAAATGAAATGAGGTATTAATTTTTCTGCTCAATTTCATAGGCGGACTGTTTTTTTTTAAATCACACACGCACACAAGAGTTAAATCAATATCACCATAATTACATATTACAGTGTTGGAATATTATTGAATGAATTCTGTATATAGTCTGTAATTTATTAATTTACAACATTTTGCGAGAAAAGCATCTGATTTGCCACACAATTTTGCACCATCAGTAATCCTGTATTTCAGATCACAGCAAAAACATAATAATAATAAAACAATTATCAAGTATAAAAACAGAAAATTCAAATGAAGCGCGAAGCTCAACCATTCACTAATAGACATACAGCATATCGACGGGTGAATGGAAAACTATGAAAAGTCGATTTATCATAGTTTTCGTCTTATGTATTTTTGAAAAGCCTTTTATTTGTTCTTTCTGTACAAGAATTTTAAGATTTGTATCTTATGAGACAATAGAAAAAAAAAATCTTATTTATCTAAAAAGCACAAATGGAAAAAAATTGTCATGTTTTGCGAATGAAAAGTCGAATTTTCATTGTTCACGCTGTACAATTTTTCCAAGAAAAATGTCTCAAAAATTGCAGTCAAATGCATAAAACGTCTTTTTTGGAAAATATTTGTAGATTTTCAGAATTATCCTAAACCTTGGACTTTAAATGAATATTTCTCATATCTTTTAAATTTTTCCTTTGAAAACATTAAGAAAAAGTTCAAGTAAAGTATGAAAAGTTGATTTTTTTTGCATAAAATCGACTCAAAAACCATTAAAAATCGACTTTGAAAAGTAATATTTTCAGATTTTCTATTAATTTTGCCACATTTTAGTGAAAAATTGCAATAAATACCAATAAAACATTTACAAAATAAAAAACACAGAGCAATATTTTCACTTTAACGAACGATTTGAAGGCATTTTGAGTATTTTGAAGTAAATTTGGCAAATTTCGCAGCTGTTTTAATGCAAAATTTTGAATTCGCTTTGCTGAAAAATGGCGATTTTGACTTTTTATAGTTTTCGAGGCACCCGTCGATATATTTTCCAATATTGCGTCAATATTTAGCTTCAGCAGCGAAGGAGTGGCTTTTCCATATTGAATATCCCGCGCGTGGAGGTCAGTGTTTCTCCGCCAGTGAAAAGGTCACACTGAGGAAATTGATTGGCATCGCAATGATAATCCTATGCTAAGGAATTTATAACCTCATTCAGTGTAATTATAGTCACCCTTCTTGGTCAAATTAGGGGTGCAATTAGGAACCAAAATTGGTGAGTAACATAGAATATTGGTGCAGAATTGTCATCTCAAGAGTACAACAAAAGCTCTTGCAACTCTGATGGCTGCTCGAAGATCACGCAATTGACATCATGGAAACTCCATGTTTATTGGTGGTCTCCTGATGAGGCCAGAGTGATGGCAATTATTGGCTACGAATTAAGCCACAAGGAGAGACATTCACCACCCCGCACAAGACATATAGTTCCCCCACACTCACCTATAAAGACGAAGATTTGATGATGTGAATACCTCAGCAGCATTGAAATGGAGACAGTCTGGAGTGGAAGAGGAAGAGATTAATTAGATGCTGTGGCAAAAGACGTCAATTGACATGAATTAAACTCACGAAGAGGAGCATTATGAAGAAGGCGGCCGGATAAGAGCCTCTGGCCATCCACCACATCGACACAAATCGATAGTGTTCCCCAGTCACGACATTCCTGCACCAAGAGAGACACAAAGAATCATTCATTATCTTCTGTTGTGAACGATGAAAAAAATTAGAAAGTATAAAAGTTTCATTGCGTGATTGGACAATTTTGCACCGCTCATTGAAATGCATTTCGTTTTTCGTGGGTTCTTCGGCCCAAGAAAAACACACAGCGCAACAGTAACAACACACAACATATGCAAAAACAAGGTGTGTGTGAACTTGCGGAGTTGCAAAAATTCCAAGATGATTCAAGGTTTTGCTTGCAACACACAAAAGAAAAACACACCTCAAGTATCCCTTGTTGTCTTCCTGCTCCGCCAGCACTTTCACCGACGCCATCAGGAGATCATCGTAGCCCAGAAACTCCTTCAGGATGAATCGACTGAAGGTATCGCCGAAGCACTTGTCCTTCTCCGGATCCAGCGTCACAGTGTACACGGGAATCTTCAGTCGCTGTCGCGTGGTGGATGACAAGCGCAGAAATCCATACTCCAGCGAGTACTCCACAATGTACTGATCCTCCAGCCACACGGCATTCACCAGCTTCTCCACCTCCGGCACACTGGACCGCAGCTCGCCCTCCTTCTCCTCCTCCGCAGCCGCAATGGCGGAGTCGTTGAGCGTCTGATTGGCATACACGATCGAATCCTCATCGGACGTCTCCAGTTCACCCTCGGCGCCGCCCTCCTCCTCCTCATTGCCGCCCAGCAGGCCTTTGGACACATCCGAGAAGAGACTGTCGAACTTCGTGCGCTCCATCATCACCATCTGCGTCTCAATGTACACCTTCACGTACTCCGTCGCGGCGCTGTGGCTGTCGTTGTCCGGCGGCGGCGGCTCCTTGTCCGCCTCCACGGCCGCCGCCCCGCCGTTTGACTCCTCGTGCGGCAGCGTCGTGGACGGATCGATGCTCACCAGGCCTTCGCGATGGTTGTTCCGCATCAGCGTCAGCTCGCTCTCCTCCACTTCCGGCAGCTTCGCCGCCGGCGGCGCGTTCTTCAGGATCTCCACGCGCAGAATGCCGTCGCGCGGCCACTCGCCCTTCACGTGCTCCAGGCACGTGGCCGGCGTCTGTGAGAAGGTGATGTGAATGTACACGAGAATGAACAGCGCCGTGAGCGCCTTCAGCAGCATCAGCAGTTCAATGGCACGTCGCATTGGTCTGCAATAGAAGAGATTCATCCAATCAATGCCTCAACATCTTACGACAGGGCAACTTCAGCATGACCCGCGGGCAAAGTGGAGCAGTATTTCATGTTCTGCAGCAAGGTTAAGGTTTCTGTGACGTCAAATCCAAACATAAACACATTTCTAATGGGGCGCGAGAGATAAAGATGATGGCAATCATTGGAAAGTCTCTTTGTGCAGAGCTTTAAGAAGAAATCCCCAGAAAAAATGCCGCATCATTTTTCAAGCATGCGAAAGAATCGGTTTTGTCCGCATTCGAGTAGTAGGAAATGTGAGATTATTTGCCAAAAAAAAGAACACAAATCTAGCAAATTGTCTTCCAGGGACAAAGTGACTCAGTCGCGGTGCTCTGCCTCTTTGATTTTTCTTTTATATCTCTTAAGACACTTAGCATAGTGCAGAAGAAGACTGAAAAGAGGAAATTTGAGCAGTTTTGACCATTACAAGGCTGTGAAATCTTCAATTTACACCAAAAATTCAGTCAATTCAGCATCGGACACTCGGTTTGAGCCACTCTGTTCGACGTCTCTTCTTGTATAATAGCAAAACGCCAGGAAAGCAATAGAAAGTTTGGCTCTTCTTGCGCTTCTTACTCAAGAAACGCTTCAAATTGCCACAAATTGTGCCCCTGATCAAATTTGCAAAGGGAAAAGTGCAGTGAAAGACTGTTAAATGGAAAATATGGCACTGAATTGATGTTCTGCAGCGCATAATTTATGAGACGTTGCGCAAACAATTGATCCGGGGGTGGATTTCACACTGCCACGGAGCCCAAGAACACCTTCGAGCGGCTCGAAGGCTGTCCGGAGAGGGTGAATCGCAAAGGGAATTTACTTGGGTATCGCTTGGGCATAGGCCAGGGCAGTCTTGAAGAAGAGGGCGTGGAACAGGCGATCTCGCACGTTCATCAGTGAGTTCTGGTTGTTGTTCCTTGGCCGATTGTTGTTGTTGTTGTTGATGAGCGGAACACCCGGAATGGCATTGTTCTCCGGATTCACTCCCGGAGGCAAAACATTTGCATCCGTCATGCCGCTTCTGGTGTCGCCTCTTCCCTGTCCGTCAAAGTCTCTTGTGTGGCTTCTCGGGGGATGTCGCGTGGATGAGACTCCTCGTCACCTGTGCCTGCAGGGTGAGAAAAGCTGTTCAGTGGTGGTTTTTTTTTCTTTGTCCAGAAGTGGAATTGGAGGAGGAGAAATGGAGCCTCTTCAGCTGCGACGGACAGTCGAAGTGAAAAGGTGTGATTTTGGGTGGAAATTGTCGCGTGAGCTGTGCAAAAAGTCCACTCACCTTATCTCTGTGAGTCTCAGTAGCGAAATGTGTTGGTTATTTATTTATTCCGTCACCATATCATGCATAAAATTGAATTTATTTTCACCACAAAATACCAAAAAATCACTGATACATTCAGCTGAATCTGACAGCTCACACCAATGACAAAACATTCTCCTCACTAGCCCACAGCGCCAGCGGCCAACAATGGCAACGTCGAGCGATGGACTTTTGAATCGCCACCACTCTGCCTTACCGACAGCAACGGACGCCGCGCACACGCTAAAAGAGCCAAAAGACCAACTTTATCCATTTTTTACTCTTTATTGGACTCTCCTATCACACGCAGTGATTTAATGGTGATTATATAAAATCATTTGATACTATTCATTCCTATAGTTAGCGCATATATACTCAAATTACAGTTACAATTACCAAATTTCGTCCATGAAAAGTGATTTTTGCTGGTGCTTTTGCAGACAAATCATTCGTGTGTGAAAATCAATTGCAATTCCGCTGATATGTTCATCTACACATTTCCTATTTCAGCAATTTTTCCGCATTGTCGCGTATTGAGAGATATTTTTAAAAAATAATTCGCCTTGTGACACTCATGAAGCATTTTTTTTTATCTCCTCTGCCGCGCGCTTTTCCTTTCATTTTAAATATGTACATTGACATTTTGTTCCAAAGTGTGTGATGTTCGCCCACTCTCTCTGTCTCTCTCTAAAGATACGTCTAATTGCAAATACACAGTCTATAAATTGTCTGTTATGATTATACCATTGTCTATGTACATTGTCTCATCATTCTTCCTTACTTCCTAATTGCAATGCATATGCTGATGTGTATTCCTCACAATTTTTGTCCATAAGAGCATCGCTTTTATTCAATATGTCCGCCATGACAGACTAAACGGCAGCTTCGTTAAGTCCTGACGCGTGTGTGATGTGCAATGTCGCCAAGGGATAATTGACGAGATATGCTCTGATTGGGAATTATTCGGCATTTTGGTTCTCTTCTATAACATCTAAAAAGTACATCCACTAATTAAAACTGCGCTGTATTCTGTCAGTTTTACAAAATGTCTTCCATTTTTTTTTTTCGTTCTAGGGTGTCGCGTTTTTGCACTTTTTCTCTCTCTGCTCCGTGAAAACTGTCCAGATTGTTAGATTCTTTTTTGTCGTTAGAGATTAGAGAAGTGTTGGGTTTTGATAGAAGTTGTGTTTTTTTTGTGTATTGTACAAGAAAATACAGACGTTGAAGTAACAATGATTAGAACTCTTAAAGCACTTGAAATATTCATGGTTTTACATCCCTCCATTAACAGTTTTCTTCTCTATTTACAGATTTAGGTCTCATCTTTCACCCTTAATAATACACATTTATCGATTATGACTACATTTCTGTTCCACCAACTCTCGTCCTTCGTTCAATTTAACACCTATTTTACTTCATTTGTTCAATCTCTCCCACTAAACTCTCTGCGCTCAAAATCTCACACCCTGTTAATTAAATATCTGCTTGCTCTAGTTGTGATTGGTAAAATATATACGTCTTAATATCATCATCAGTGGTTTGCAGAAAATGCTTAAGAAAATTGAAAAATTGCCTGAATTGTTGGAAATTGATATATTTGTGTTGTGGTATTGCAAGGGTTAAAAACATCTGCTCTTCACCCCCTTTTAGAAAAGATATGCAAGTATTTCATAAAATTATTACTCAACTTATGTGCTTTTCATTTTTTATAGGAAACTCTTTCATCAATTGACCACTTTTCCAAAAAATTGCCACTCAATTTGTCGCATTTCTCTGCTCAAAAACTCAAATTGACTCGCGTGCTTTTTTCTGCACGCTTTCAGTGTAAAATCTCCTTGTCAGGGACATCATAGAAAAATTCCGCATGGTTGGTGCATTGATCTAGAAGCTTTCTCTGTGAGTTCAGGAGTGAATATGCCTTCAGAGAACTCCTATTTGGACGTTGTGCGCCGTTCCCAGGACGCTCGAGTCGAGATTCAAGCGCACCTGACCGCCCAGGATTACTTCCGAGATGCAGCCAACGATGCCAGCGCTGTATTTCCGGCGGGTGTAGTGCGAAGTCTCTGGCATTCCACCTGGAAAGGTGTCGTTAAAGAACATCTTTTTAACAATCTTCTCAGAACTCATGCAAAATTCCCTCCAGAATTAGACCGGTGATTATAAATATTTCAATGGAAAATGTCCATTATTTTCTCCTCTTCATCAGACATGCAGATCAATTTTTAATGAATTTTTGCGAGGAAAAAATCCTTCAATTAGATGTAAAAGCCACTTATTAGCATACAGTCCACTCACCCACGTAAAGCCCAGTGTTCGTGTTCAATTGCCTAAGTCTTCCCGGCGCCTTCCGCACGGCCGCCCTTCCGCCGTCCACCTCCAGCGAACCCTCCTGCAAGTTCCTGCACAACAGACAAAGTCGGTGAGCGCGCAATTCTCCCGAATTTCCCGCCAAATCACTCACCTCACGAGGCGCACTCGATGCCACAGCCCGTCGCTCACTCGCGTGAAGTTGTACTTGATGTCCACATCTCCGGAGCCCAGATTGTATCTCAGGTGGAGGAAACTGTTGGGAGATGAGTGAAAATTTGACTAAATTCGTCAAGTTGCTCTCGCTGGCAAATTCAATTTTCATCCCTCTGTGACGACTTTAATGAACTTTTGCGAAAAGCTTTTCATGAGATTCTGAGAATTCTGATCGACGGAAGAGAGAGTGAAATTCCCAGAATCACAGAAACGGTGTCAGTGAATTTGCTGGGCTTTTATTTCGACAGAAATTCAGAAGTTCTTGTGAATGATTTATTATCAACCATCAAGCTAAATTGACCTCTTTGATGTGCATAATATCAGAAGAGAAAAATGTTAATTTGCACATATAACTAATGTGATTTGAGCTATTGAAATACCCGACATACCTGGGAATTAATAGGTATTTAAACTTTGGAACTCTGACATTGAGTATTACACATATTAAATGGAAAAGCTTTCGGGGCTTTTGATACTTTCCAACCAATTAAAAGCAAATAAAGCACATGAATAGTTAATTCTCCAATGCTCATCACATCAAAGCCTTTTTGCATTCATCAACTAAAAGTATTTAGTAGGTCAAATCCATCAATGGAAGATTCTTGCAGCCAATTTTGAAAATTGCTTTTAAAGTATCACGCGTTGTGAAAAACATCTCTTGAGAATTTCAATCGAAACTCCTGCAAACTTTTCCCAAAGTCCATCAAATATAGCTCAGCGCGAAAGCTCTCGAATTGGCGCTTGGCCGAGAAATAAACTCAATTTCACTCGAAACATTCTCTGGGTGATACAATTAGAGACAATCCACTCGATCCACCCTCACGGACACTCACCCTTTCTCAATGCCCAGCGAGAGGAAGTCATCGTCGGGACGAGCACTCTGTCGTCCTGTCCAGAGCAGCAAACCATTCTTCGAGTGCGACTTGAAGCGCAGATTCACGTCTGTTGAGTAACTGATGATCTGAGCCAGAGTCTCGGCGTCGCTGTAGTGGAAGAAGCTGTCGTGTCCGGTGAAACAGGCGCCGTGGCTCTTCTTCCTCTTCAGTCCGTGGTGAATCTCACGCCAGGACTCGTCTTCCGGACGCTCCTTCATGATGCGTCGCATCTCATCATCGAAGTCCGGTTCTTCGAAGAGCGAATCATCTGCGTCGAGTTGCAGAAGTGGCTTCTGATCGTCGTCGAGTGATTTGTCAGCATCGACAGGTGCTTCCTCCTTCTCATCCCGCAGAATCCATCTGTCATCATCGGGCAATTCATCACTATTATCGTTCATGGAGAGGAATTGACCATTATTGACTGTCTCGTCGTCCCAGTCATCCAAATACCCTCCGTCTTGACGTCCCTCGATCTTCAGCGGATTCTCTGTCGTCACTTGCTCCTCCTCAACATCCTCAACGTAGTAATCATCGTCATATTCCTGCTCCGGCTCCTCCTTTTCAGGAGCTGGCGTGGTTGTCGTTGAAGTGGTTGTTGTAGTTGTTGTGGTTCGCAGCATTTCCTCGCGGCGCGCCTCCTCTTCAGCTCGATGGCAGGGACCATTTGATGGACTGCACTGACACTCGTAGGAGTCCAGATTGGGAACGCACAGAGCCAAGGGTCCACAAGGACGTGCCACGCAAGCGTGAGGACAGTTCTCAATGTTGGATCCGCCAAGAGCCTCCGAAATGATCGCATAAGGTCGGCCATTGACCTCCATCTGTGCAGATAAGATAAATTCTTAGCTCAAATCCCACCCATTCTCTGTACTCTCAACAAACCTTTTGAATGCATCCCACGAAGGTGCCTTTCTCCTTCAAATTGGACGGCAGAATTTGGGTGTTCTGCACACCGCCGAGGAACAAACTGTGTGGCAGTGACAAATGCCAGAATCCATTTGGCGAAATGGTCATCACTTCCGCCAGTTGATCGACCTGTGAAACGAGGACGAGTGTGAGGTAAATTGCCTGCTATTCGAACAGAAATCTGTGCCCCTAAAATACCTTCATCACGGCCAATCGGGCTGTTCGGGAAATCTTCACAGTGTGCCATTGACCCATGGACAGTGGAAATTCACTCCTGGAAAAACAGAAGAGGACACATTATGCCATAAGCTTGTGCAAAATCTGCTGATGTTCGTCGCAAATCCTCATTTAGAATGCAAAATGCAGTGAAACACACATGAAACTCCAATGAAACGATGAAAGCTCAACAACTTTCCTCGAACAAATATCCACAAATTCCAGTGATAAGCAGAGAATGCAGAAGCAGGAGTTTATCTGAAAACTCTGCCATTCATGGGGTGTAATTGAAAACGTGAAAATTCCCCCCCCACACACACACAAACACACACAAGAGTCGATGGTTTTTGGGGGGAAACGCGATAAAAGCAAATGCCATCCTCCAGAGCTTTGGCGATAAAATGCCGTGATAAAAGTACATGGCATACTCACCGGACTGTTGCTGGTCCACTGCCAAGATCGAATGTGAACTCCATGTGACCCATATTGAGGCACAATGATATGTAATCACCATAGTCGTGATGGCCACTGTAGAGCAACAGACCGTCCTCCTGCTGCGGCTTTATAATGATCTAACCAGAGAAGAGAGTCGGCATTAGTCGCCCAGAAAGCTTATGTGCAATTAAAATTCAGTTATACCGCCCAAAAGCTCACGAGTTGGCTTGCCAACTAATGAGCTCCAAGGCGAGTTTCGGATGTCCCCACACACACCCACATCAGCCGCACAGGGTGAATTACTCCTGCATGAGCGAGTGGAAAAATTGTTCGTTTTCCAGTAATTTTCCGTCGATATTTAATTATAATTGGTGAAACTTTGTGGGCCGAGGCGCTGTCGGCGGTGGAATGCAGAAATCAATACAAGTCATTCTTGTCGCCTTCGGTACAAGACAAAGCAATTAATTCACCCTCAAGTACTTTACCCATCGAACCAGGAAAAATATTTGAGGGGTGGCCAAGTGACAAAATGGACAAATTCTGGGTGAGAAATGCATTTTCTCTTCAATCTAAAACCACACACAGATTTTTCTCCAACACGCGAGTAAGTTAAGACTTTTTTCCCTCCACAAAAAGTACATTATTAGATTGAACTTTTTATTCTATCTCGTTTGAGTGACTCAGTTATAGAGTTTTTCCTATGGAAATCATAGTCTCGATGAAAAACTTTGGCGATTTAAAGTAAATTTGCATATAAAATTCCATGTCTAAATGAATAACAAAATTTTGCAATTGGACTGCGAATGGCGTAGAATTTCAATATCACATCCCCCTTCCACAATGTTACTTCATCACCCCTTGAGCCGGCTTTAAGACAGTCTCACGAGGGGATAAACATTTGTTGTTGCTCAATCGAGAGTGTTTTTCAGGACACATAAGAGCATATAATTCAGAGTGAAATGTTACCCTATTCTGGGCTGATGTGTTTGGGGCAAAACACGTGTAGACAATTGGTCGAGGAATCCACCCTCGGGCATCGCTTACCTTAAACTCCAGCCAAATGAGTGCAGAGTCTCCGAGCGGGGCGAATCGCAAATAAGATGATCCATTAAATGAAGGCACCTGCGTGGGGGGCACAATTAAATGAGAATGAATTGTGGGGTGAATTTATCATAATTATATTGCCGGGCGGGCGGAATTACCTGTAAGTCCAGTCGCATCTCGCATAAATCACCACCAAAGCCGAGGGGACACAGACAAATGGCACCCTGATCGGAGGGCAGGCATTTGCCGCCGTGGCGACATGGGTATCGGCTGCAGCGATCTGTGGAGCACTCCTCTGGAAGCACACAGACAGAGTGAGAGTGAGAGGATTTAGGCGGTGAGCGGCAAAACATGCTCTCGCAGTCGGCGGAGTTATTAAATGAATATTTAAATTTCAATTCACCACACACTCGAGCCCGGGGAGGCTTCATCACTCATAATTAGTGACTGCTGTGCATGAATTTGGGAAGTTTTCCCCGAATTTACGGCACACACAGAGTTGATCGCAAGCTGCCCCGGAAAATGATGCTCCAACTCTGTGAGCTTTCGCAACATTTCCCAAGAACATTTCGCATCCAGACGCTCATCAGCTCAGGGTGAGCAAAGAAAAGAGATCTCCCGAGGGTGAATTAAATATTTTAGTCTGTGCGTCTTGCTCAACACAACTCAAATTGTCCGCCTTTCGGGACATCTCCCGGTTCACTCCATGAATCTCCCCACCGACTAACCCCAGTGAAAATCCCCGCGGGACGTGGAGAAACTTTCTCCTGGGCTCACATTCAGATACTTACGCACATCGAAGCCCTGGTTGACGTCGCCAGAAGGTGAAATATTAAACTCGTACTCATGCTCGTTAGCAATGAACTTCCTCACGCAGCCCACAAAGCCCTCGTTGACCGGCAACTTCCTCGCCATTCCAGTGATGTTTCCCGTCCCGCCCAGAAACACCGGCTCCCTGAAGGTGATCCTGGAGAAGAGGCCCTGCAAGAGATGGGGAGAGAGAATCGATTACATCCCGCATTATCAATTTTGTATCGCCCCACAAAGTTCCTGAGATGGAAGGGAACTTCTGGATGTGAAGATATATATGGGGAAGTTTCTCCCGGGGGGTGAAACGGAGATGCGGGACTTCTGTACAAAGTGAATTTTAAACAAAAACGACCAAATTACAGGGGTGGGTGGCCTCTTATCTTAGTCGGGCGCTGCCTGAGACTCGCGACAGACTCTTGAGATGAAAAGTGTAGTGTTGCGATGTGGAGAACGCCAAGAAAAGCAAGAAATAGAAGCCTCAAGAGGGCAATCATTGCGAGGAATAAGGTATGAATGCAAAAATACTTGTGGTATTTCTCAATTTGTATGGAAATTGAGATCAAATTAACCTTTTTCTTTCTCTTCTGATCTCTTAAATCTTAAAACTCTGTCTGTTATTTATTTCATCCTCACAAGCAATGTACTTGCTTGGCGTGCTTGACTACCCCCTTGTGATTAAAAGTGTGATCCTTTGAGACTGAGAAGGGCAGAAGCTCTTCTGTAGAAATTTTCCGAGGCTCTGGAGTGGAGGCGGCTTAAATTCCTCGGCTCTAGAATGTAGTTTTTTGCGATAACGACCGACCGGAAATTTTCAATTATCCACCAAAGTGAACGCAAGATAATTCCTCATTCTCGTTTTTTGGCGAGGGTGAGTGTGGGAAGATGCGGAGGAGTGTAAGGCAAAAAGACCTAAGACAAACAACAGAGCGAAAATTCAGTTGGTTGGAAATTTTTGTGTAAGAAAATGTGGATTTCAATTCAATTCAACTCAATTCCCATTTGTGCTGTTTGAGACGCTGCTGTCGTGTAATGTGTTTTATTGTAAATCGAAATCCCACCCTCGCTGTGTGCGCCCCTCCAGAGTTGCGGAGCACACATGGGGCGAGTCGGGGTGGGCGGGGAGATGCGTGGATAAAAGCTTGAGTAAATTCAATTGAGGCTTTTGGATATTTGCGGAAATATTTTAATGCTGCCAAAATTGTGTTACAGTCAGTTCACGAGGGTTGCCGGGCGGCTAGGCGACGTCAGGGGGATGAGATAAGCCCTGGTCCGGCCGCAGGATAAGTACACTAATAATTTCAGACAACGTAGCATCACACCATGGGCAAGTTTCGGGATAAGCTGCCGGTTATTAAATATAGGCTTCCCCAGGAAGTAAGACACTTTTGATAGTTGCTGGCCCGGATTATGCCGAGAGTTCTGGTTGTGATAATTAGAGTACGATGCTCCTTTTACACTTTCCACTCCCGAGGGATTTTCCTCGGTGCCGCAATGACGGCCAGAGCTGTTTTCGGATATGAGCGAGAGGATGGAGAGATGCTTTTAGCACACATCCTTCCGGACAAATTGTCAGGTGGATTGGCAAAAGCTCTCCCCCCTTTTCATATTGCAATATATATTTGACTATTATTAAGTCATGCGCCAAAACTTCGAAGATGGGAAGACATTTCCTGTCCCGGAGAAAGTTGGGGTCAAAGCTAGAAAAATCTTTAATATACAAACTTTTCTCCCAGCTATCCAATAATTTCATAAAGTTGTTCGATTTCCAAAGTTTACCACCCTAGCCCCAAGAACTGTCTCACAACCATTTCTCATGGCAGCATTTATTACATTTTTCTTCCCAAAACCCCAATACATTTCTCTTGCACACACACACAAACGCGCGCTAACATTTGTGTCTTCGCATTGAAACACATCCGATCAATATATTATTGAGTGTGACTGCTTTGTTCCTGTCCCAAGTGGCAAAGTTTCAATATATGGAAAAAGCCGTGTGGAAAATTGCTGGCCAAATTGATAGGAAGATGGAGCATTTTCACGTGTCCAATTCCGATGAAATTTCCCTGTCACATTTACCCCATCCCCTATAGAAACTCCTGGCGAACCGTCGCAGCTCTTATTCTGCCGAGCTGGCTCTCCTTATTGGGGAGGCCACCCTAGGTTATTTGCTTATGAGCCACTGCGGTGGGGTTTTCAATACAACTGACAAAGTTCCACCAGCTGAGGGTGTGTTTATCCAACCGCGTTGCAGGGGTGGCGGGGCATTGTGGCTTGTGTGAAAGGGGGAAAGTTTGGAGAGGCCTTGAAAATTGCAAATGCAACAATTTACTATCACAAAATTCCCTCTGAAATCTGTCTAGCAATTTCACATGAACATTTGGAATCATCAAAACCCTTGAATTGTTGTATTGAATAGAATTTATGAGAACCTTTTCATCGCATTTATTGAGAAATCAATTGAAGTTGAAGGGTTGAATGAGGGTTTAGATATTGAATCTGGGATTTCTCATGCATTGTTGTGAAACTTTCATAATTTTCAATGATAATTTCCACCATCAGAACGGAAGCGCAAATACGTCAAGCCACAGATCCGAAGAAAGGGAATCATAAATATATTTGTCCTCTTTATATTTGACTTGGAGGAATATGTGTGTGGGGGTGGACTGGAGCTCGAGGATGAATACGAAAACATGCAATAATAAAAACGTCCCTCTTTTTCTCACGGATTATCTTGCAACGAGTGGTGAATATTGATAGTAATAATTCTTCCCCAGAGGGCGGACGATGCGAAGCGACAGAAAAAGGGTTCCAAATCGGGGAAAATCCTCCCTCGGCATCAGCGGGGAGGGTGTAAGTTCTGCTGAGGACTTACTTTGGATCGTCCCTGGACACGATTTCCCTGATTGAGGAGCAGCCATGCATCCCATCTGTGTCGATAAACCGTGACGGTGTTCCACTGATTTAGCACAACAGTTTCTTCAGATTGCACTTTGCCGGTACCAGAACCGCAGTCGAACCTGCAATTAGAGAGTATTTGGTTAGTATTGGATTTTTTCTGCACACTTGCCGCATTCTTGTCAGCGATAGCAAATCCGCCCCGGGTATTGCTTCCCATTAGCAACACCATTCCAGGACACCCTCATCCCCCCCCCACCCCCCATTCGCCAATGAGTTCCATTCAGTAGCGATAATTGACTACGATATTTTTTCCACCCTCTCTCTCTGCTCGACTTCCAGCTGGGGGAATTGATTCTCATTTGTCTGGTGCGCAGGTAAAAACACCCCCTCAGATATGTTCAATTTCACATCATCCGTTAGTTGCAGTGCGATAGCAAATTAATATCCCACCTGAAATTCAATTCAGTCCCATCTTCCTGTTGAATTTCATAAATAGCGCGCACAAATCCGCGTATCTGATTGTATATTGTGTATTGTTAGAGTGAATGTAGCACAGGAAGTGCTTTTGCCGAAGAGACAGCAAATAAATGGGTGGATTATGTGCAGGGATATTTTTCATTAAACATTCTCAGTCTACAGACATTTTTCCTGGAATTCATCAATGGTTTGTTTGCACAATCCCTTTCTGCCTTCTCCCAAAAAGCACTTTATAGCGAAGGGGGATGTTTTCCGGAACGACTGCCCTAATAATTTTTGGAGAAGAGAGACGCACTGAGATGAAGCACTTTCAGCTGGCGCTCTCATTCAGTGGTTTTGCAAGGCAAACGATTTATCAATTTCTTTCAGTGCTTATCGCAATAGAGAGTTGTTTATTCCCCGGGAAAGTTCGCATGTCGATGGAAAGTGGTCGGCTTCGAACAGAGGAGAGAGATTAAACTTTTCATTCACGATTGTTTCATCTATATACACATTAATTTTCCACGATAATGCAGGTCCCCGCCTTCAGGAGGAATTGGCACAGAAAGTTGAGCAGTAAATATTAGCATTTAGTATTGTGCTTATTGCAGCAACTTCAGCAGAATCTCCACGAGCCAGAGATATCCTGAACAGCATCGGGATTGTATGTATTGTCGCAATGTACATGGAAATCTATACGGAACTTTTCAGAGGGTGGCTTGCAATGTAAATGATACATGTGAAAATCGTTTTGTCCGCACAACCCTTCAAGCATTTATCATCCTTTCTTCACATTGTGTGTGATTGTTGGCCAGAAAATGGCACTCTTCCTCAATTGAGAGGATGTTCTCATCTGTGGGGTGAAGTTGTTTGGGCGGAAAATGTGAAAGTTTGCATCTTTTGCGACAATTCAGGAGTTTGCGAGAGGACATTGAGGAATTGACTGATTTATGAGAATGCTTAATTATTCAATAAATTGCTCTCTCTAAAATTTCTCTTCTCTCACCAAATAATAAACTATATGGCGGCGAGGGTTGATAGCTTAAACTTTCTCCACAAACTTTGTTCATTTCACCCAACTACATATTTGCCAAAATACGTATTTTAATTATTTTTCTCCCCTATACAAATATTTCACATTTTCCCCTAAACAAAACTTTCACATCTCGCTCATAAATTTCATTATATTATCTGAAGCGAGAGAAAGAGAGAGAAATGTGTGGAAATTTCTCGCTCTGCTTCATCAAGCGTGGTTTATTGAATCAGCGAGAAAAATATTTCCAACATATCAAAGAAAGTTGTATAAAGTCAATTGTCATAAATTGCACCTGTCTTTATGAATTGTTCACGAAATGTAGCGTAAATTTTCAATAACATTTCTCAATCACGTTAAATTGCACACTTTCTACCCGGCAAATATTTAAAATTGCCGCTTTGATCCCGATTTGTGATTTTTGCCAGAAAATGAAGGGAAAAAGTGCGGGTTTTTTGCTTAATTTTAATAAAAGGCAAAATTTCACCCTCCAATGTTCATTTGCTCATTTCTTTTTCTCTCCATGGAAATAACTCTGTTTCGCTCAATTGTTATGCATTGCTTTTGTCATGCCGAGCATAAAAAAAAATGTTTCGAACGCAGGGGTTGATAATTGGCAAGAAATGTTAAATAAAAGAAGCCCCCAAAGTTAAACGTGGTTATGAAATATCAAAGTAACTTTGAAAATCTGAAGGAAAATCTGCTATAGTTGCAAGAAATGTAAATAAATCCTAATTTTCCAGAATTAATTCAGCAATTTATTAACCCCTGCAAAAGAGACCAGAGCCCTTGTTTATTTTCAAGATCAAAGCATTTTTTTCCAGCTCTCCTCGGCAAAATGAACCCTTTTTCCCGGGGTTTTCGACTCAAATGGGAGCCAGAAAATGGTTGGAAAAAGACACAAGTCTTTGCAGAACCAGCAGCGTTTGATCTCACCACACCCCAATCGACTTCACATCCACCAAATGGCAGGTGGGTGAGACGAGAAATATTAATTAGTCACGTGCCACCGTAAAATTTAATACCCAATACAGCCGCATTAATTTTATTCAAATGCACAGTCAAACTGAGCTTTGATGACGAGGCTTTTGTGTGACTGGGGTTGTTTGCTGTGGCGAAAGCCTCTTAGGTGCACTCTGCCTAATTAATCATTTGGGGTGGATTTTGAGCTGCAGCAATTACTAATAATAATACGGAAAACTACACTCGCAAAGCAATATTTACAAAAAATTCACTATGAATTGAGCTATGAATGGAATATTGAAGAGAGAAGCTTTAAATGTCCAGTGAAAAATATATCCGAACTCAATTTTATCTGTCTGGGTATTCCGAGAAAATAATAAATGCAATTTTCTTGGAAATTCTCGAGACAATGAGTCAGAGAATTGTTTGGCAGAGGACCGAAATAATTCATCAGATATAAGGAGAATGGAATGGGAAAGCCACAAATGACACTCCTAATGTCCCCTGAATTCGTCTTAATGAATATGGAAAATTTCATTATAATTTATTCCTATACTTTGCACAGTCTTAATCATTTTGGATTATGCTGAGAGAAATTTCGATTTCGTCCCTTCCACAGAAGGCTTCAGGAATGCCATTTTACTGAAAATTTTATAATGAGAATTTCTCATGCGAATTGCGATGTTGAATTTTCAATGATTCTTCAGCTGTACTGGAGAGATGAAATCTCAAATAATTCCCATCAATGTTAAAAAGCAAAATTGGAATGTATGAAAATATTCAGTCATTTACTAATACAATATGATTTACATCAAAGCATACCAAATGCAAGCGTGGGATTAAAGGTGAGTTGTCAAATGAAATTCCAAGAAAATCCTTGTGAAAATCCGCTTAGGATTCAATGAAAATTTCCGAAAGTTCCCGGGAAACTTAAAAGCTCTTTATCGCACGCTGTGAATTGCCATCAATACCCCCAAGTTGGGGACAATTCACAGATCATTTCGAGAGGATTTTCTGGGAAATTCCCACGTGTTGGTGAATATCTCATTGTTGAGGATTTTCTCTCCTGCTGTAAATTTACATATTCAAGAAAACCCCACATTGTCTGCAGTACAATTAAAATTATGAGCTTTTCGCAAATTTTGCCATCATCGTCCATCTTTAAACTCCATGACGCTCCGGGCGCGATGACTCTTCATCAAACTCACTTTCTCCGCGGCAATGAGGCGCTGTGTGGGTGGCAGGAAACTTTCCCGAGCCTCCCATCTCACCTGACGGCGAGGTGGAGGGGTGCGGAGGTACATTAAAATGAAACAAATCGAGAAAAAAGCTCTCGCGGTGTGAAGATGAAAAGTTGGAAAGTGGGCGTTGTTATAGTGTTTGTCGGGAGAGTTTCTCTGGGAAAAATATTAAAATAATACCGCCCCGAAATTCTCACTAGATATATAATGCCGTGGATGAAGTCTCTCACATCCAACTTCCTTTGCCATTGCTGCAGGTTAAAAGTGTTGCTTTGCGGAGGTGGATAGCGGCATCGTTTCTATGGCAATGTATGTTTTATACCATCTCAAAACATACACTCAGACTTTTCGTTATATTGCCCTTTCACATTTATACATCATTTCATTCCTCATTTGACGTGCGGAAGGCACACAAACAGGGGATGATGGGCTGAGGTGGTGGGTGGACAACTTTTGCGCCAGCTGAGAAAGGAAGGAAAAGTGGCAAAAATATTTCACTTTGATACGCGAATATGAGATGAAAGCACCGAAAATCTGAGTAAGAATACGGCAATTGTCCCTGTCACATTTATCTGTGTGATGCCTGCAAAAATGCTGAATATCTGATACAATAAATCTTCGTACCGGAGAGTGCCTTCTGCAGTCACCCAATATTTATATATGAATCTTCCTGATTTATTGCTGTCAGTTTTCTATTTGAAATATTCCAACCCACACACAATCTCTCCCTCTCTCCACCTAATTTCCCTCCTAAACATATCGCCTTCGATGCGATTCAGGTCAACCGACCAGAGTCGCCTCTCGAAAGCACTGCATGAATAATTGAGAAAGCTTTCGCTCTTCTACTCGCCAAGCTCACTGAATGACCCGAAAACTTTATCCCATGATTTTCTTTCATGCCATGATTTCAACTGATAACTTGAGTTATGACTGCCATGCACTTATCAAATTGAGGGAGATCCTCTTTCATCGCTGGCTGTTTAGAGGACGAAATCACCCTCCTCAAAGTCTCTGGCATTAGCCCATGAATATTTTAGAGGGTTGTATTTTTCAAACCACACAGCAAAATCTCATTTTTATCCTATGAAGACTCCGGTGGCATAAAAGGGAAAATTCTCCCCATTAATGCATTAAAAGAGCATCACATATTTGACTGGCTAAGAGCTAAAAGTTGAAAAGAGCTTAGATGAGAGATTGTCGATAAGATACACACCAGAAGCCAGGGAAGCAATAATGGTGAGGATGTTGAGAGAATAATCGTATCTGCAATCTACAATCGACACACGCAACTCTTTGTCTCACGCTAAGATATTCAAAATATGGCAAATAGAGTGTTTTATGCTGAGGAAGGACTTACGATATCACCCATGAATTATTCCTCCAGAGCTGAGATATATTTTGTTTATGTCCTCACATTAATTATAGGGGTGAATGGCTGTGTGGGTGGGCGATGAAACTACGTGATCACATAAAATGCGTGCCGTGGAGGTGCAAAAAGATGATGGAGAGTAATTTTACAGTGGCATCACTCCATCTTCAAATCTCCCCCGGAATGGCTTTTGATTTATTTTACATCCTCCCCCCACCCCCGCTTTTCTCCACTCAGCCGAAAAGCCCAGCTCTGTGTGCAATTCGTGCGCGGGGGTGGTTTTTCGGGAAAGGGCATAACCATTGGCAAAATGTGTCAGTGGCAGAAAGTTATATTTGTGTATGTGTGTGTGTGTGTTAATATCCGGAGGATTTGGGGAAATCTGATAGGAAAATGCTAGAAGCATAGAAAATCAGTTTTTGCCTCTTGCAAAATGTTGCCACTTTAGCTCTGAAAGCCACCCACTTGCACGGACTCTTATGTAATGTTGCTTCTATGTGGCAAAATGGCAGGAATACACAAAGTCAGCAAATAACACCGAGCGACATGTCAATCAATTTCTGATGATGATTTTTGCCAACAAGGGGGATTTCAGGTATTTCCCGTGGGGTTGAGAAAAAATCGTTGAATATCTCTGCATGTGTTCAGAAATGAATCACAACATTCGCTGGTATATATTCTCTAATAAATGCAAAATATGATGCAAAAATGCATAACTTGCTGTCCCTTCGGGCTTTAATTTGTGAAATATGACGAAAATGTAATGGAAAATCACTGGGGTTTCCCATTGAAAAATACATTGCAATTCACACATTACCAGAATTCAATGAATCCCTGATGGATGAGAACTGCCATGAAGTCACCAGTGAGATCATCCCGTTCGCCAGTCAATAGTATTATCCCGTCAAAAGTCTCCGGCCGGAACTCGATGTGCAGCTAATGTGGATGAGACACGAAAAGTGTTTTAGTCTCCCAGTCATGTTTTCGGACGGAATATTTAATAAGTGAACATGCAAATGGAATAAAAATTGTACCTGGACATGCTTGTAGGCACCACGAAGGGCGGGAAAGGACATCCAGGAGTGTTTGGAGAAGCGCGGCACAGACACTTTCAAATCTGCAAAAAAAAGAGAGAGAGAAAAAGATGGAGGAGAGCTTAATTTAATTAATTACACGTAATTGAATGCCGTGCACTCCCAAAGCGCGTGCTCAACTCACTGATGGCAAATTAAACAGAGCGAGGACTTTTCCTCGTTATATAAGATGATCCACAACATTTACTTTGTAATCTACATTATCTCTCGCCGAGCCTTGGCTGGTATTTACATGCCTTCTTCCGTCAATTCATCATTCATAGCGGAACACTCGCGCTTCCGCCTGAGCCCAGGAACGCTCCCGTGACGTAATCGACACACACACTTTCTTCCAGACTCTCTCTCTTCGTGGAAGTGAAGAATAGCAGAGCACTTTTGAGACGCCGTAGAATATAAGAGTGGATATACATGTGGGGCAATTGAGGCAAGATAGCAAAAGAATTCCTCAGCAAAGGGAAAATCTGTGTATGGTTCATTGAGAACAACCCCCATAGGTAAAGCAGTGGAGGAATTCAGCGCGATTGAATAAGAGAAAATCGCTGAATCATGGATACAAAATGTATGGGAATTGTGAAGTTGGCAAGAGTGTTAGAAAAGGTTTCTCTATGAGAAACAATAGTATAAATTTCCAGAAATTGACAGACAAATTTGGTTAGTATAAATCCACTCTTTCACAAGTGCATTGTTGAAAACAACAAATTTAGTCTGGAAAAGTATACGTTAAGCTGTTTGAAATCCTTCCAGTTTGTCACGATTAAACCCTTTCTCGCCACAAATTTCCCACGATAAGAAGCGAATCAATGCTGCGGCTCAATCCCTTCGGTACAAAACCCCCTCGAAAATCAACCCCACAAAACGGGGTGTCGATTGTTTTCGGAAGCATGAGTGAAAATTACTTGCTGACACCTTCCGATTGTTCAGCCAGAGTGAGTGCGCGCAAATACGAAAAACGAGAATTATTCCATCAACTTTCCACCAATCCAATGGGGGATTATTTCATTGAATTTTCCAGCATAACTTCTACATCATGTGGATTTGTGTGGCGACAAAAAAATAGGGGGGAAAAGCCTTGTTATGGAAAAATTTCCCGCTGTCAATTTGTCGTGTGCGATTCATGGAAAAAACTGATGCACACTTTGAGGAATGAATTATTACCGAACAGACGCGTCCATGTGCAGCAGTTTGCCATGTGTATGATTCTATAATTCATTATTACCCTTGTCACCGGTTGCATTGTAATTATCATCACACGCACACACACAGATGAAAAGCTCGGCGGCAAATCCGCAGAGCTTTTGCCCGCCGTGGTCGAATTCGTGATGTTGTCCTCGCGGGTTCGGGGTTGGATGAGCAAATAAAATAGTCCACCAATTTCTGGTTGACAATTAAATTATTCGCGCGCCGGCAATAAATTTCAACACAAGAGTTGCGGTGCCTCAGGGCACTTTTTCCCATTGTGATTTTGTAGGTGAAAGAGGGAGTTTCAGAGGCCTTTTTGGTGTGGGTGAATCATTTGAATCATTCGTTTATTAATGGAAAACAATAAAAAGGGTGGTTTTACTCCAACACCCCAACGAGGAAAGCTGTGCGCAAAAACTGCTGTAATTCATGGGTTGAAATCCAATTTTTGGTCACAACGATATATTAACATTCCGCCCACTGTGCAATGTTGGAGAGGATAATAATTTCCGAATGCTTTTCATCAAAAACTCCCACTCATTTATCAACAAAAATATTTCATCCATGAATTTAGGCCCAAGTTTTTGTCGTTTTTCTGCACGCGCGAAACCTTTTCCATTAGATCATCGAAAAAAAATAAGCCAAAGGTCTGCTATTTCCAGTATTTCTGTAATCATTCGTGAAATTACCGCGCAAAAATTTAATTAACCCACTAATAATTAAAATTGATATTTTATGAAAATGATTTGGGATTGTTTGTTTGTTTCTGGGTATTAAAGTGAAGCAGTAAAACAGGATTTTGCACTCACAATTCGGAAAAGCTTCAGCAAAATAATTCCCCGAATGGAGTAAAATTGTTTTTCCATCATATATTTATGGCATATTTACGTGCCATGTTAATTATCACACAAAAGGGCTGAAGTTCAAAGGTATTTCACGTGAGAGCGAAATAGCGCAATCATAAAATACTTTCTTTAATGAAATTGCTTCCCGGAAATAATTGAATAATTTCCAAAATACAGGAGAAATTGCCTCATTATTGGCCCCTTTCGGCGCCACATCAATTCCCAACTGTGCCGCTGAAGGCCTTCCACAAACTCTCAGTTCGTGTGCTCCTTGAAATTCCAGAGAACTGCGGAAAATCGACTTTCCGCCATTGAATGCGTGACTGCTGAGCATTATCCCATGATAATTTGCATGCGGAATATGCCATGGGGTGTAATTAAACTTCACATGAGGAGTTAGTATTAATATTCCGTTGGCGGAATTTTCATAATTTACACCCATTTTAAAGCGTATTAAAGTGTGGAGGGAAACTCTTCATCGACTCTTCCTCAAGTGTGTGTGTGTGTGTGTCTCTTCGCGCCGAGCAATTTTCCAGGCCGTTCTACACAGATTCCTCTGCGTTCGCATTGAATACTACGTTGATATACCTGATGGCGATGAGGAGAAGTGGCTGGAATTTATGGTGAACCATTTGTATGATATATTGAACCATTCCACCGCTAGCTTTCCACACAATTTTCATATCACATGAATTTTCATGTAATTAGGATTATTATTTCGCCGTGCATGTGTGGGTGATTCACTAGTGAAATAACACAGAAGACATGTTGGCGGCGTACGAGCCTGCCATCGGTATTATTTTGCCTTAATTACAAAATCAATAGCACACCAAACAATATTCCCAACCACAGGACTCGCTTCCGTGCAGGAGGAAATTCACATTTTGCCTTCATCATCTCTTAACCCAGACGTTTTTACAGTATAATATTGTTTCTTTCGCCGAATTGCGAGGATGAAGTGCAGCAGCACTTTCTGCCATGGCAAGTTGAGTCGTTAATTTTTTTGTATTACCCCCAAAATAGCATAAAAGCCATCGTAAATATGTAAACTTGTCAGGAACAACGAGCTATAAATATTTTTGTTGGAATAACGAAGCTAAATAGCTTCATAAAGCCAACGAGCTTCGTTTCTTCTAAGGGTTGTACACAAAGGTAGAATGTTTATACTGGCACTTGAGAGACAGAAAAGACTTCAATAATGATGAGTTTAGGTATGAATAGAGGAGTCTAAAATGAAGATAAAGATTCGATGGCGCACCGATTGACCCATCTTGAGACCTTCAGAATCACAATAAAAGAAGAACAAGAGCGTCTCAGCGTGTGTGACGATTTTTCCCAAGTCTATACGGCTGAAGAAAGGCGAGCTTCGCCGGGTGTGAGTTATTTGAGGATTTCTCCAACTTGCGTATATTGAAATTTATTATTTGCACGTGAATCCACCATGTTGTATTTGTTTCGCTGCGAGGGTGAACATGGCGAAAGGGAGCATCCAATTAGACATACACTTTTTCTGCACTCCCTCGGCCGCTCGGGGGGGTAATTTTTACCGCGAGGCAAGAAAAAAAATTATAATGGATGGAATAAATCAGGGAATTTAATTTTGATTTGTTCCTTCTCGCGCTGCTTCTCTTCCTTCGCCGAACTTCCTGTCTCCGGCGGAAACACGTGCACGCGGTAAATATGTTATTTATTGAGTTTGGCGAAATATTCTTTTTAAAACCTGCGGTGGAGATTATAATTTTAAATGACTTTGCGATGGAGTTGTCGCGAGATGCTGTGTCTTTTGGGTGAAAAATGTGTTTCGTGAGTCGTCTGGAGAATTTCTCCCCCGTCAAATTGGCCATATTGTGTAAGCGTCACGGAGGACACTTGGAAGGGAAAATCCCCCCATTGGAAAGCTCACCGAGAAGGAGGCAACAAGCATGACTCATTTAACGCTTTATTCCAAAGTTACACAGAGTCTCGCAGTCAATCTGACAGACACAAATATTGATCTATTCACCGCTTTTTTCGCCATTCCCTCATCGCCCACTTCTGCAAACAACACGCGAGATATTTGCGAGATTACAAAAGGGAGATGAAAATCCCATTGTCTGCACTGGGCTAAAGCTTCCTGTTTATATCATTCCCATACATGATACGGGGATTTCCTGCGGAAACTGTGGCCCTCTTTGGCCGTGGAGAAAGACTGCAAAAAGTCCACTGCAATCACCCCCGAGTTTCCATTCGCCCCTGTTGCCTCGCAGGCCAGAGCAAAAGCGTCTCAATTACACCAGGAAACCCATTTGAGAGAGGATTGGTTCCATGGGAAAAGTCATCCCCTAAAATTCAATTGAGGAAATTAATTTAAGACATATCATTTTACTGATTTGCCTTTTTTTCTCTCTCTTTCAACCTTCTGGCTGAGCCTGTGATTAAAACTCGCCTACACATCAAAGGAATTCCTCATTTCAGGGTGGAAAAGTACAGTCAGGGAATTCACAGATCTCTCGAGAGAATCATATTAATTTGCACGTTATGTGATTATTTCGCGTTGAGGGAAATAATTAAAGAAATCCCAGAATTACATTTTCTACTCTTCATTTCATTTTTCGCCCAAAAGTTTGCATGGAATTAGTGAGTTTGGGGGTGTGTAATTAAAATGTAAAAAGTTCCTTTCTCTTTTCCTTCCCATAAATTCTCAAGTTCATTGTGATGATGCGCCAGAAGAAAGTTTCTATATGCCTTCAGGTTTATTCATTCGTTCAATAATGGAAAAAATGCACATTTTTCTGCATTGGTGTGGAAATATTTTTTTTTAAATTGTTACACTTTGTGCTGAAAAATCAAACAATGGGAGAGAATTGCTCTCTTAGCCATAATTTAGCAGAAGCGGCATTTTGAGGAGGAAAAAGGTCCTCTTGTGTATAATATTGTGGAGTTTTTGGGGAGATTTGTGAGCTTTCGAGGGTGAATATTGTGTTCATAAATTCCCATTTAATATGTGCACACAAGTTGGTTTCCGGCGAAGTGTTTCTATGTTTTATTCTCGGTTCAATGAGAATTACTCGCAACTTTTATGCATTTTTAAATGTCTGCGGTCAGTTTTATACCTTAAACAAAGCACAAACTTCCACAACAGCTTGTTTTCCCAAGGAATATTCTCCTGTTTTCCGCTTAGCGGAGTGCAAACTCAGAGGATCTTATCTTGTATAGTTATCATGGATGAATGGAATGATTGAAAATATATATTCGCCTGGTTAGATTTTACATCGATTTGCTGAATTATTTTTGCCGCCGGGTGATTGACACCGAAATCAATAGGGGCATGACCTCAATTCAACTTTCAACGCTGCACAAATATTTATTGAAATGAAATCCACAGACGAGAATATCCAGTGGATTTAATTAAGCGCAGCATTTCTTTCGAAAGTCACTCTGAAAGCTCTCCCTCTCTCTGTGGCTTTGCCATCCACTATTTGTCGCCCGGAGAAAGTCCTTCAGGATTGTGGCGTTGAGATAAAATGGTCCAGCCCTTAAAAACAAAGTGAGAATTGTGACTTATTTACCTTCTGTCGAGGGCACGTACAGTTGGTGTAAAAACAACCGAGGATCCTTCTGTGACTCCCCACAGGGACAATAAAATGGGAATCATGGCTTCGAGGGCGATATTTTATCTCCCACTTCCCATTTCTCAGTGGCCTCTCTAATGGTTTTCCCGGGCCCAGAGAGAAAAATACCCCGAGAAAATGACGATTCAGAAAAAGCAGACACACTGTCATCCAAGTTCTTGTCACCCCAGAGAGAGAGTGAAGCTCGCACTCCAGCCCCGAAGGAACTGAGCGCGCCAGCAACATTAATTGAAGAGATCTCACTGAACGTGACGTGGGATGAATTAAATTTTGATTTGATTAGTAAAAACACTTTCTGCACAACTAAAATCATTTACGTTCACACGCCCACAACTTTTCTGCCTCCCCCAAAACAAACTTTTCCCACACACACACACACACACACACACGCGCGCTTGGCTTGTCGAAGCCATCATGACCACCTTCTTCATGATTTGCCGTTTGGGATGCGAAATGACAGTGATGTTAAGTGATTATGGCTCACATTATGATAAGAGCAGTAGCAAAATTGCATATGATTCGGTGCCACTTTCTCAACCTGTGAGCAATTACGATATCGCCATGTGGAGCTCCCCGAACTCCAGGGGGTTAATCGCTGCTGCTCCCAATCCAGCAATTCCCTCAAGAACCCCACTTCAGAGCGATAATCGCATTAGTTGAAGACTTGACTATGGAGTCGCATGGAGTATTTGGACAAATACGATTAGGAATTTTGCCCAAATAATGGAAGACAACTGACGAGTGGAATCGCTCCCAACTGGAATGAGTGGTTGAATGTGAACTGTAATCACAAGATTTTCTTGATAAATTCACGTGAAATTCAAGGGAGAGCTAAATATGCTTTAAATCTGTTTACCTGTGCAGAATCTTTAACATTTAGCAAAATAATTTAGAAAACGACTCAATTTGCTCACGTTTTTTTTATTTAAAATACTAATTCTGCTCAGTTCCAAAAAGAGTCTCTCACCCTGCGTTTTAGTGCGTCCATGCAGAGAGGATGTGTCATAAAATAGTCCCATTTCTGTCGAAAAACCGCACATTTTATGCTCGTCTACCATCAAAACATTGCTCCGCAGAGGCGCGCGCGCCAGAACTCTTGTGCCAGAGAAGTTGAGAATTTAAGCCATAAAGTTTGAGCAGAAAATGTTCAATGGATGGGTTGTGAAGAGACAAACCACCCACTCGTGAGACTTGGTGACAGACAAAGCGCTCACTACTCGGTGGTGGTGGAAATAAATTATCTCAGAGACTTGCTTCATTATATTCCATATTGCCATTGTTCCGCCCGACACTCAAACTGACATATGCAAGTGAAATGTGTTGACTTTCTTTCCACAACGTCATTTGTAATTATTTTCAGCTTACGGCCATTGTATCGCCCCATCGGTAGGAGGGTGAAGTTGATGATGAATTGACAGTGTGGTGAAGATTTTCCCTGCGAAAACTTTCTCTTACCTTCGTCGCACTTGAGTCCAGTCTTGCCGAATGGACAGAGACACCTCGATGGGCCATCGCTGTTATCGCACGAGCCATCAACTCCGCAGTCCAGGACGCACGGCTCCCTGCTGAAGGAGAGGAGAAAGGCTCTGTTAGGAGCTGCTCATGGGGGTGGATGGGGTTGGGCAGCATCACGGCGCACCGCCTTGTGAACGAGGGGCTTACGTCTACTTAACGTAATTGTGACAAATAGCTGCACTTGCCTTCTTGTTACACAAAATACACACCAACAACGTAGAAAAGGGATCATGGTACAAAGTGGCGTCTGTGGTGGAGAAAATGCATGGAAAATTTACGATGATGACGGTTTAAAAGTTAAAGTTATTCTCCTCCAACTTTTCATATGCACTCTCTTTCTATGCAACTCCGCGCGCGCGAATCTCATTCGTGATCACGTTAGGAGAAAATGAGAATTGAAACTTTGTTGGAGGGTGTGTTGAAAGAGGATAATTGGAATGATGGGAAATGGAGAACAAATGACAGTGTCTTTATTTAAGAAAGCGTAAGTTGAGAATGTGTCTTAAGACCACTTTTTAGAGTAAAGACAGAGAGAATCCAATTGAAAGCTTTCAAACTTTCTTTCATGCTATAAAATGTTTATGTGTTTTCACAATTTGCAGGTTGATTTTCTGCCTGCTAGATAAATGTATGAAATTCAAATCTCCTCTGAGATAAGAAAGAAAATCCTTTTCTCCATTTCAATTATCTAAAATATATATATGGTTGAATATTATATTATTTTTCAAGAAATATACTTTATGTTTAATCCGACTCGGAAGATACAATTTTCCTTGTACTTTGATGCACAATATTGTGAGACAAGCAGAAAATTCATGATTCTCAAGATTCTTTTCAATTCCTTTCTCAAACTTATTGGCATTGTGTCCATGAACCATGACATTTAACAAGTTTTCCTGGGAAAAGTGAAGCACTTTCCATGCTAGAAACAATTTCTCAAACTTTGGATCTGTCTTAATTTACATGATGAGCAATATAGAATTGAGTGTCTCAATGCAAATTGTAAATTTATTAAACTTTTCGAAGTTCCTTGGCGTAAATTAGGTTAAATCGAATTCAACTCTTGGACTAAAAACTCTCCCAAACAGTTTAAATTGCATCAAGGAGGAACTCACCTGAGCACAGTGGCTGTCTTGTTTGATCCACTCCTGTTCTGGGACACATGTGGCTCTCCGGTCGTGCTGGACGGCGTGACAATGGATGGTTCCGATGAGTCCACCTGCTGTGCCGCCGCATCGTAGCGCTGCGAATCTCTGCTCCGGAGATTGAGTCGATTGTTGTTGACATCGTCATAGACTGACATGTCCTCCTTCGAGTAGAAATTGTCGTCGCTCAGCTCGCTCGACACCGTGGCGAATCCGCCCTGGCCAGTGTCACTTCCGGCGGCGGTGTTGATTTTGTGCGCGCCCTTCGTCAAGAGGGTATTGTCGAAAATGTGAGCATTGGAGTCGTCCAGCTTGGCGCTGAATGACGCGCCGCGCTGGTACAGGACGTCCTCCTCCATGTTGGGGTCCTCGTCCTCGTTGGGCGGGTACGTGGAATTAATTTCTGCACAGAGAGAGAGAGACAGACAAGCGTAAATTACTCCGCTGAATTCAGATGAAGCGACGATTAAAATGTTATCAAATTAATGCCTCTCCAGCATTGGCAATTTGTGGCTTTTATGATGGGTCAAAAGCCACTTCAGCGCCCAATAATTCACTGGCGACATCACAAGTGTACTTTACATCCAGTTCATGAGAGCAAATACATATTATATAAATATTTTTGACATTTTTCCATGACGAGACCAGACTTTTCATCAACATTTCATCACGCAAAACACAAAAAGTTGTCTGGGTTGAAATGTGAGGAAAAATCGAACATTTTAGCACGTCATAAAATCAAATCGCATAATTTAATATCGTTTGAATACTGATTTATTAATTAAAATACTTGAATAACAAATTATCACTCTGGATGCATTATATATCCTAATAGGAAAATTCGCCACGCAGAAAGCCATAAAAATCCATTATAATCAGATTTATCGTTGACTCTTGCCAAAGATCGCACTGGTTTTATAATTCTGCGAAATCTGCAAAACCGGCTTGCATAAAGAGCCGAAATATGGTTTGCCTTGACGCAAGAAGATGCAGAAAATGTCAATATATCATCGTCTTTGAGATTGAATCAAATGCAAAAAGACTTATGATTTTCCACATTATTTCCATGGAAGAACTTCACGAAAAGTCATTTTTCACCTTCCTTTGTGATTCTCTTTGTCTGGGGGACTAAAAGGAGGTGAATTCCTCGAGAGTCTGAAAATAATCTCAAATTGTAAAAGTTTTTCCCACGCTAAACAACAAAAAAACGATGCACTTCAGCTTATATTGTTTCGCAATATTAAAATTAAATTACACTCCATGAGATTGCAGCTTCTGGGATATTTTTCTCTCTTTTCCTATATACCTGAAGAGATGGAGGGAGTTGAGAGATTTTCCTGAGAAACATCGCGAGGAGTGAGATTGAAAATTTTCACAAGCGGATATATTGTTCACAATATCGATTACACAATGTATTAAGTGAGAGTTTATCGTGATATCAATTATAATGTGTTAAGGGGAGAAATTAGATATGAATGAATGCGAATTGGGGGTAATTTGCTGTGAATTAACATAAACAGACTGACCATTTTCGCTTGTCGAATATCGATTTTATCTATCGGAATATCTATGAGGATCGATGACGACACAAATTAATGCAATCGATTGGATTGAAAATTTGCAAGCATTCCACTGCAGTAATTTGACATAAAATATTATTTGTTTGTTTCCCATACTTGGCTTTAAATAGCCCCAGTCATTGACTATTTGCAATTTTGTATGGTTTAACCTATTTCACATTAAATCCAATTGAGTGGTTGGCAATCGAAGCACTTCTCTTGCCTCTCTCACAATTCATTTATTCCACTGATGAATATGCAAATTTGTGTGAAATTGAGAGAAAAGATGCATCCATCCTTGAGAATGATTGATAATGAGATGTGCTGCTGTAACAGCGCATGAGTGACTTCCTTTTCTCGTCAATTGAACTGTGAAATGCCATTCACTCCGTCCGACGAAGGAGTTCCCCAAGCGACGTCTTGTGCCAAAGACGACTTCAGTGCACAGCCTAAGACAGAGTCATCTCTCACACCTTGGCGGACTTTGTCATGATAATTTCAATGGGAAAGTTTGTGTTGGCATCGAATGAATGACCGGGAAAGACAATAAAGTGTCTCACACGCGTGCCGAGACATTATGTCATCGCGTGATGTTTTGTGGGCCAAATTAAATTTCATCTCTTTCCTCCAGTTCGCGGCAATGCAGCTCTTCACACAATGGATCGCGCGCGCATTCAGAAATGCCCTTGCAAATTGCCAGATTGCGGCTCCAGCACGTCTCATTGACATGGAGATGAGATCTCCGAGTCCGGGTCCATCAATTCATATCATCCTGACTTGGAATCCGCCTAAATGGAATTAGCATAATCTCGAATCAGCCATAAAATCTACATTTTTACCCGCTTTGGCCCTCCCACGAGCTCCTCAGGAAGCCAGAGAGCTGCGGTGCTTTTGGGTTTGGGGATTTCTATGTATTGATCAGTGACCTATTGAATTCCTGCCACACTGTCCCCAAGGCTGTCGACTCTTCTAATGCAAATCATCCATCTTGGCTGATGACGGCGTACATTTCCTACAAATATTTATTTCCCGCCTGTTTGGCGGGGAAAACACTTTCTTGATGGGTTGATCGCCTCAACAATTCGCAAATAAACTGTGAAAATGAGACAAGTTCGCCAAGGGGTGTGTCACTTTTGTGTTAATTTGCCATAAAAAAAATCACGCCATTCCAGCTAATGTGTTTCATTTTCATACCGCAAATTTGATGTGAGAATCCTACGCAATATCCATTTTGTGTCACAAATGGAGGGATTGAATTAAAATATAAATTAAATATGACACATGAATTAGGACAGAGTTAATTAATAAAACACATGTTCTATGTATAAAATATATGATAATTTTGTAAAGGACACAACATTACAAGTCTATTAAACTGGGTGAATTGGAAAGCTGATAATCAATTATTTACAAGTCCACTATTTATATACTCTTGAACTTTGGCATAATCTTCAGCCTCCTGATAATTAATTTTGCAATGTAATTTACTGACAAATCAAGCCAAAAACATCTTCATTCAACATCTCCTAATGAGATCTCATTTCCCACCTAGAGAGTGATACAAACCCCTCGAGAATCCATTTGATACATCCGAGAATGTTTGACTACTCCAGCTATTTAAATGATATTTGAAGTAGGAATTCCTATCTTAGCGGTGTGTTTAGAGAATTCTCGCGCCAAATTCAATTTCACTCTCAATGAGAGCGTTTCCCACATTGGTCGCGCGGGAGAATGTGAAGAAGAAGTGCGACGACGAAAGAAAATCCATAACCATGAAAATGAAACTCGTTTCCCAATTATGCTGTTTCAATTTAGCCCAAACCATAAGACGAAAAATGCCGAAATGAGAGAAGAAAACGATATGGTAGAATTGATTTTCGCCTTTTACTGTGTTAAGGTCAAACATTATGAGTATCAGAATGATTCCCCAAATATCATAAATTTTAGCGGTGAGAGAATCAGTGTGTGTGCACGTGGCAAGGTGAATTTCTGGCAAACGACAGACAAACAGATGATCATCTCACACATTTATGAATCATTCATAAATCATTGCGGCACGGGAATTAAGTATCGCGCGGGAAATCACTGAGAATTGGAGATTAATTAATTAAATTCGCATACAATTCTTTGCTCAATACTTCATCGCCACGCTTTTAGTCTTTCTCTGTTAGGGTCAGAGGAAGCATGGACCGGATGCTAGGCGCCAAGAGAGCCCTTGGACGGTCGAAGAAGTCAATTGAAAATTTAATGAGATAGAACATGGCGTCAATTCTACCCTTCGGGGACTAATTATTGTGTTTTTTGGCAAATTGGAGGAAAAATCACCCTCTAGCCGTTGGGGGAGAGGGTGGAGAAAGCACCCGCGCCATTGTCAGACAGTCCCGCGAGGCGAAAGGAAAGTCGAGCTTTCCACCAACGTTCCACTCGTCCTCGGTTAATAATATAATACAAGAGAGGGTGGGAAAAAAGGCACCGGAGGCCAGGAAAAAAACTGGAGGGCGAAGCGTTCAATGGGATTCGGGTATTTGGTTGACACGTTTCACTTGTAGAAATGAGCTTTTCTCCCACGCCAAGTCACTTTTTTTCCTCTCGCCATGTGACATTCGTGGGGGTGGCGAAGCGCTCGTTCCGCGGCCTCGTCTCAATTAACGAATTTAAATGCAAAACCACAGAATTTTACCCTGGAGGACTTTTTCTCTATGACCCTCAACTGTCGTGATGGCTTTCTTTGGCTTCTTTCTTCTGCTCCAGCACTCCCAAATGATTTGGGAACAAGGTACTTCAAGTGTGGGCAAATCATAATTTCCAGGAATATTTTAGGGGTGGTTTGAGGAGACAAAAAAGCTACAGAGTATGAATTTTCTCTTCTTGGGGCTTCTCAACACTTCACCTACCAAAAGTGGTGAAATATGCAGAGGATGAAGTATTAAAAATAGCTTTCCACAGTTCAGAAGATTAAGAATTAAATAAGATGAGCTTTCGGGTTTCCTGTTTTGATCAGATATTCGTTACACAATTCAGTTGCATAAATTTGAATATCAATTAACTATATTTTGATCATATTGATTTTAGGGCTTTTCTAAATAAGACTCGCAATACTTTATTTACATCTAAATCACCGCACACAAGCTGTATTATCTCTAAAAACTTCAAATGCTCCGCCGAAAATCCGTCTCAAGTCAAAACGCCGCCTTATATCACTATTGCTCTTCATGTGCGACACGTGAGATTGCTTTGGGAGAATTTATTCATGAGCGCTATGCAGAAAGTTTTGCACTATAACTGGCTATAGTGGATTCCTTATGTAATATCGCTCTGGGCAGAACGACTCTGCGTCAATTCTGGTGACTGTTGATTCTGGCAATTTCATCACTTAGCACATCATATCCGGAATTCCCATTCATATCTTCTCTGCCTTGGCTTTTGCGCTAGCCGAAGAATTCTATCCCACCTGTCGTGCATACAAATGACGCTGATTTTGGACATGATTTTCAACCCACAAGAGAAACCGAAGCGCGCTCAAGGTTTGCTTGGAAATCAGATACTTGCGTCGGAGAGCAATTAAAGCGCACGCCTTAAGATTGATCTGACTTCTTTGCCTTGTTCTTTGCTGATGATTTAAAAAGTTTTGAGGATCCGCAAAAGGCCAAAAGCCTCAGCTGTAATTGCTACTAATTTCTGACGAAATAGGCCCTCTTTTCATGGGTCAATCAATGTGTATTCAGGGTCGCTATTCAGTGTCACGCTTTTCGCGCCTCTTTAGCACAATTGAAAGTGCATCACCCGGCGATCATGTGGTCAATAGACGGACTGAGGTAATTCCTTTGACAATATTTATGACACA